CCAGACATCGACGAGTGCGCGGAACAGGGCATCCAGTGCGGCCCCCAGCAGATGTGCTTTAACACCCGCGGCGGGTATCAGTGCCTGGACACCCCCTGCCCAGCCTCCTACCAGAGAGGGGTGAGCCCAGGGTAAGAGAGCTGGCGAACTCCCAGCAGAGGACGCCAGTGGAAACTCGGGGAATGCGCATTAAAACTGAGAACGGGAAGCGCTTCTTTACGCAAAGGGTTGCTGGAGTCTGGAACAGGCTTCCCAGCCATCTTCGGCTTGAAGCCTATACCCTGGCTCCTTTGAAGAAACAGCTGAATGAGACATTCAGATGAATTAACTACTAACTTCCAAACGGGCTGGACGAGCTGAATGGCCTCCTCTTGTTTGTAGGTTTATGTTCTTAAGAAACACAGGGAGGCCTCAGTTACGCAGTGAGCCTATTCCGAGCTTCCAGACAGAATCCACTTTCCACACCTCTGAGTTCTGTTACTTCTAAGAGCCTGGCTAGAGTTCTGAATGAGAAATTATCTTTGAGGTTTTCTATAATGTTTATTTACAATTGTTCTAATCAATTTAATAATATTGATTCTCTCTGCCCCCTCTCCTCTGTCCCACATCTCTCTCACTACACCCCCCTCTTTCTCCTTCTGTCTGTTCTTCTCTCCTCCTGTTCTGTCTCTCCATTGTGTTCCTCTCTCCCCTGTTCTTCTCTCCCTCGGTGCCCCCCTCTCTCCTCCTGTCCCTCCATCTCTTCCTTGGCTCTCTCCCGGCTCTGCCTGTCCCAGCACGTGTTTCAAGCCTTGCTCTCTGGACTGCGGGGCGGGCAGCCCTCTGGCGCTCCTACAGTACAAGCTGCTGACCCTGCCCCTGGGCATCCCCGCCAACCACAACGTCATCCGGCTCTCCGCCTTCTCCGAGGCCGGCGTCCTGCAGGAGCGCACCGCCTTCGTCCTCCTGGAGCAGGACGCGGAGGGGGGAGGGCAGGTGTTCGGGATCCGGGATGAGGCCGGGCGGGGGATCATCTACACCCTGAGGGCCCTGGATCGGGCAGGGCTGGCACGGCTCCGGGTGCAAGCTACCACCCGCTCCCCTGAGGGGCAGGTCAAATATCAGAGCATCTTCATCATCTACATCGCCATCTCCAGTTACCCCTACTGACCTCAGTGGTCAGTTACCCTTGTTAACTCCAATGGTCAGATATCTCTGCTGACCCCAGCTACCCCTATTGGTCCCAGTGGTCAGTTACCCCTGCTGACTCCACTGGTCAGTTACCCCTTACTTACCGGTGACCCCCGTTATCCTTACTGGCCCCAGTGGTTGGACGGTTGTGACGCCATATCCCACCCTTTCACTGCTGTCAGTGGCTGCCCAACCAACAGCCAGCAGATGGTTGCAGGAATCACCTGAAGTGTTAGCTAGCTCGTGAAAAGAAACGGGTGCGAAATGGGATCTTTTCCTTCGTTTGTGCTTTTTATAAATCAACACACTGGTACAGAGTTTGCACCAGTGCCCGTGTGTGGTGGATCCGAAAGGGATTATCGATTGACTGCGTGTTGATTCTCACAAGACGTGAAAACAGGCCGCTTGTCCCCTCTGGTTAGGTACCTTCCTTTGGCAAGAATTGTGTTTGCTGGTGGTGTTTTTTTTTTATTATTTCGGCGACCACTGCTTGTAAACCCTCAAGGCTGTCTGGTTTGGCACATGAGACAGGTTTGTTGTTGCTTTCAGTGATGCACAAGAACTAGCTGGACTTTACCAGCCAGCAGCTTCTTACACCAATCTTTGCCACAGAACATTTAAACTGAGGAAAACACCCGTTGTGCCATTACTTCACAGGCCTTAGCAACCATGGGACGTCCCCACCCTGGGCCCATTCTGCCTACTTTGGAAGGATGGTTTGCTCTTCTGGAACATACCATTCTCTGATATTTTGTGAGGGCAGTGTATGTTTTGAAATTCCACATTTATTTTGTATTATGATGTGCCTATCTGATTGTGGGATCTAACCTATTAATTTATATCTGCCACAAATAATTCAGTGGAAAGATTTTCTGTTGTAGACATCATATGTTCTCTAATACAGGCTGGGAGGGAATTTCAGAGCTTGAATCTGAAATGTAACGTGTGTTTTTTTTTTTAATTGTTTAATTACTTAAGCCAGAAATGCAGCAAAGAATGTATCTTTAACTGGGGCTGCTTTTCACTTTTGAATTAAAGGATGATTTTGCTTTAATTCTGAGTCAATTAACTTAATTTTTTTTATTTCCCCTGTTGGCTTGGCCTGGTTTTGTTCTTTTTTTAATATAAAGGGTTTTGTAAAAAAAAAATAAACAAACTTTTTTAAAAAAGTCCTTTGACAGTTTGTTGCACTACCTCTCTGACAGAATTGACCCCTTTGTATTTTATTGACCTCTGGTTGTGACAATTTTGACCTTTTTATTTTAAATTCGGAAACTGGTTTTTCCCTGTTCCCTTTCCCCCTCCCTTGGAAGAAACTTTTTTTTTTCTGAGTTAGCCAGCAGCTCCAGAACTTTAGAAAGTCTTCTTTACTGTTGTCACACGTGCTTCTCGGCCTGCAGCCCTTCCAGGACTCTGTCTCTGACTAGAGACGGCTCCTTCGTTATCTCCTGGGTAATCAGCTGGTGCAGAACAACAGGTAAAGGATTCCTCCAGCCACTGAAATGCACTGGACTGGGAAGGGAGGAAAACCCTCCGACACACACTGGGCCTCCAGGACCAGCCTGGACACCCCTGTCCTAGAGCCTGGACCCGCCTGAAGGGTCAGACTGGGTCGTTAAGGGATGAAACGTCATTAAAAGTTATCGGGTAAAACTGAGTGGATTTACCAATAAATAGAAGAGTACTTTACTGAGGGGTTCCTTCATGAATGAGTTTCTGATATTTATGTGTTTATCTACCACACCTGCCATTTCCAACAAAAATGTAAAATACAGTCCTCCAGTTGCCAATAGAATCCTTTCATTTAATTAGAAAGCAAATCCAGTCAACACATGTAATGTAACATGCTCATTGTGGTACAAGTATTCCTGTGAAATGTAAGTGGTTATTATTTAAATAGAACCTTAAGTACATTCAATACATTCAGAAGCTAATAATGCTTTGGGTATTTCCAGTCTTTCTTCAGCCTTATATTTCCATTTTACATACTCAAGTATGAATGCATAACTTGGTCAAAACGATTTTGAGTGTACAGGCGCTATTCATTGTGGGAATAAGCATGCTCTGTGACGTACCCAGCCATAAGGAGGCCTCTCGGCAGGAATCGGACAGGGCCCGGAAAAAGCCGAAGCGTGTCGGCCATCTTGGTTTTTGAATGAGGTTGCGGCGAGTTTGAGAATTTTTTTTTTTTACTCCCGCTAGTCAAGTGTGTCAAACACAACTTCCTACGAATCGCTTCCTGTCACTGCAGTTCCTGTGGAGGAGGGAAAAAAAAGGGGATGGGAGAGTTAAGAGTAAGACATGTAAGACGGGAGAAAAAAACAAGCAAAACAAAACTGTAACGAGCCTAGCGTTTATAATCACGTCTCGCTTGCAAACAGCGAAGTCCTCGCGTCTGCCTAGTTAACGGACGTGTCCGTCGCTGCTGTTTTCCTTGTCCGAGCAGACAGACCTCCAGGCGGCCTTTCGGCAGTAGCGGCTCTGGGAGAGCCTCCCCGCTCGAGTGAGACCCCTGGCCGACTGAGCCCGCTGGGTGGGGGGCAGCGACACAGAAACGGCCTCCGCCGGCAG